AGATAAGAACATCATCAATATAAACTGGCACATATGTCATATAAGGATTAAAAACATCATTCATGATTTTCTGGAATTTAGATGGTGCATTTTTTAAACCGAATGGCATTACATTCCATTCGTACTAGCCAAAGGGGACATTAAATGCTGTCATATAACAATCTTTTTCATTTATCTGTATTTGCCAATATTCAGATTTAAGATCAAATTTTGAAAAATTACAAGCATTTATAAGCCTATCTAATAAATCTTTTTTATTGGGAATTGGATATCTAATCCATTTCAAAACTTTATTTAATGGTTTATAATTAATAACTAATCTAGGAACTCCCCATTCCTTTTCGGCATTATTTTCTACATAAAAGGCGGCACAACTCCATGGAGATGAGCTTGGCCTAATTAATCCCTTTTGTAAGAGAGACTTTATTTCTGTATGGCAGATTTCTAACATTTTTTAATTCATCTGAATTGGACGTGTTTTTATTGGTATTTTATTTTCAGAAAATCCTTCTTCATATGGAAGAGACACTACATGTTTTGTCGATTCCAAAAGGCATTTGGCAAATCACTACATATTTCCTTTTCAAATTGCTTTCTTAGGTTTTCAATTTTTTGATTTTGTTTCAGGAAGTAATAGTTGTTCCTCAACTGATTTATATTTTATTTCAGTTTTGAGCTGATATAAAAAATTCTCTTTATTTTGTATATTTTGTTTTATATTATTTATTTCTTTTATTTTTGGTTTATCAATGAATTCGAATTTCACTTTTATTCTTTCTATTGTTGATTCTATTCCAGTATGATCTATAACAATAGGATATAGCATACTGATAAAAGGAGTGCCTAAAATAACAGCTTGGTTAAGTCCCTTCACCATGATAAATGGTAATTCTAGACAGATGTCATTATTGCATATGGCAGCATTTGATAATTTATAATTTATTTTCAATTTACTTCCATCGACTATATTTAAAACTTGAGTAGTTTTATCAAAATATTTTGTAGGAACGAGTCCCTCATTTATACAGTTCAAATCGGCACCTGAATCTATCAAGGCCATGGATTGAAAATGGTATTCATTCTGAACTATGATTTTTACTAAGGTATACCATTTTTTATTTAATATTTTATTGATTAAATTTAACTGAGGCTCATGTTTATTGCCTGATGATTCTGGTTTATCCAATATTCTTTCATTGGTTAGTAATTCATCAAATTCTATTTCTTCATCTTCGGAAGGATTATCAACCAACTCATTTGTTAATTCTAATAACTTAATCTTATTTTTTAAATTATTAAGTTCAGATTTTACTTCATTAACTTCATATTTCAATTCAGCAATAGTAGGTTCTTTATGAATGATATTCTTCTGACCAATTCTTTTTAGAATTTCAAAGAAGCTATATTCTTTTGGTGGTTTAATTAGTGGAGTTGGTTTATTCCTAGCTTTTGCTATTTGAATATATTGGTTGAGTATTGTTCTTTTAACTTCAGTATTAGGTATTTTATCTATAATTTCTAGAATTAAATTGTCTTCTTTAGTGAGAGTATGACAAGCACATTTGTCATCTTCTGAAGATGTCTCATTTAATAAATCTTCATCTTTTATTATTCCTATGTCTGTGTCTTCATCAGAACTCTTCGAATACGAGGAAGATGTTGTACTAATATCATTATCTTTATCATATAATTGAATAATTTCATATAATTGATTTCGTACATTTTCATCTAATATTAGAGCTTCTATCTTTTTCTTTACATTACAATTATTTTTATAGTGTCATAATTTTCCACATTTATAGCATCTAGGTATTTTTCTTCTATGCTTTCTATTTGCTTTAGGATTTTGTTCATATCTTTTGTATTTATTTTTCTTATATCCTTTTTTGTAGGATTTGTGTTTCTTTTCTGGTTTTATTCGTTTATGGGATTTATTCTGGGAAAGATTTATACTATATCCGAATTGTTCACAAAAATCACCAAGCTCTTTATGACCAGTCATCTTTTGTTTATCAAGTTGTCTTTTGAGTTTTAAATCAGTACAAAGGGCTAAGCCTTCTGCACACACACACACACACATATATATATATATATATATATATAGAGAGAGAGAGAGAGAGAAGAATATACTATATTACTTTATTTTACTTACTTATATCTCTAGTACGTAGTGACTAATAATTAAGTAAATTAATTATTACTAATAAGAACGAAAGGTACT